CAGTAGTCGGAGCACACGGACTCAGTAATTGTGGCATATGGGCGTAGTTGCTCCATGGTTTGTGGAATCTTCCTGGACCAGGGATTGAACCTGTGTCCCCTGCATTGGCAGGTGGATTCTTATCCTCTGTACCACCAGAGAAGTCCCTGAAAGGTAATTTTTAATAAGATAAGACTTGAAAGTCAAAATTACTCTTTGGGTCAAGGTGGGATGTTGTTTCAGTGGGAATGAAAGCAACATCAATCTCGTACATATCTATCAGAAGTCTTGAGTGACTAGGTACATCGTCAATAAGCAGTAATATTTTGAAAGGAATCTTTTTTTCTGAGCAGTAGGTTTCAACAATATGCTTAGAAGTGTTCAGTAAACCATGTTGTAAATAGATGTGCTATCATCCAAGCTTTATTGTTCCATTTACAAAGTACAGGCAGAGTAGATTTAGCATCATTCTTACGGGCCCTAGGATTTTTGTAAATGTAAATGAGCACTGGCTTTGGCTTAATCTCACCAGCTGCAATAGCCCCTACAAGAGAGGCAGCTTGTCCTTTGAACTTTGAGGCCAGCCAAATGACTTCTCTCTAGCTATGAATGTTCTCGATGGGATTTTCTTCCAAGATAAGGCTGTTTTATCTACAATGAAAATCAGTTGTTTAATGTAATCACTTTCAGTAATTATCTTGGTTGGCTCTTCTGGATAACTTGCAGCTTCTACAGCAGCACTTGCTACTTCTCCTTGCACTTCTTTGGAGAAAGTTCTTTCCTGAAACCTCGTAAACCAACCTCTGCTAGTTTCAAACTTCTCTTCTGCAGCTTGCTCACCTCTTTCAGCCTTCACAGATCTGAAGACAGGACCTTACTCTGGGTTTCCCTGGCGGCTCAGACGGTAAAGAATCTGCCTGCAATGCAGGAGACCCGAGAATCCCATGGGCAGAGGAGCCAGGCAGGCTACAGTCTATGGAGTCCCAAAGAATCGGACATGACTGAGCAACTGACTGTGAAAGTCGCTGTCATGTCTGACTCTTTGCAACCGCATGGACTATACAGTCCATGGAATTCTTCAGACCAGAATCCTGGAGTGGGTAGCCTTTCCCTTCTCTGGTGGCTTTCCAACCCAGGGATCAAACCCAGGCCTCCTGCATTGCAGGAGGATTCTTCACCAGCTGAGCCACAAGGGAAGCAACTAACACTTTCACTTTTTTTTCAGGGCCTTACTCTAGATTGGACTTCCCTGGTGACTCAGATGGTAAAGTGTCTATCTACAATGCGGGAGACCCAGGTTGGATCCCAGGGTCAGGAAGATCCCCTGGAGAAGGAAATGGCAGCCCACTCCAGTACTATTGCCTGGAAAATCCCATGGACAGAGGAGCCTGGTAGGTTACAGTTCATGGGGTCTCAAAGAGTCGGACACGACTGAGCAACTCCACTTTACTTTACTGTAGATTAGGCTTTGGCTTAAAGGAATGCTATGGCTAGTTTGATGTTCTTTCCAGACCACTGACACTTTCTCCACATCAGCAGTAAGACTGTTTCACTTTATCATTTGTACAGTCACGGGATTAACACTTTTAATTTCCTTCAAGAACTCCTTTCCATTGCCAACTTGGCTAACTGGCCAGAGGCCTAACTTTCAGCCTGTCTCAGCTTTCCACATGCCTTCCTCACTGAGCTTAATCACTTCTAGCTTTGGATTTAAAGGAATGTGTGACTCTCTCCTTTCACTTGAACATTTAGAAGTGACTGAAGGGTTGTTAATTGGACTAATTTCAAAACTGTTGTGTCTTGGGACTTTCCTGGTGGTCCAGTGGTTAAGAATCTGCCATCCGATGCAGAGGACATGGGTTTGATCCCTGGTCAGAGAACTAAGATCCCACGTACCTTGGGGCAACGAAGCCTGCATGCTACAGCTACTGAGCCCGTGCAATGCAAAAAAACATCTGAGTGTTGCAACCAAGACCCAGCGCAGCCAAAAATAAATAATATTTTTTTAAAAGAAAATATGTTAAAAAAAAACAACAACACAATACTGTTGTGTCTCAGAGAATAGGGAGGCCAAGGAAAGGAAAAGAGATGGGGGAACAGCCAGTCAGTGGAGCAGTCAGAACACACATAGCATTACAGGTTAAGTTCTTATATGGGTGCAGTTTGTGGTACTGCAAAACAATTACGATAGTACCATCAGAGATCACTGATCACCATAACAGATATAATAATTATCTAAAAATATCTAAAATATCCAGAACATCACCAAAATGTGACACAGAAACACAAAGTGAGCGACTGCCATTGGAGAAACAGCACTGATGGACTTGCTCCACGCACGGTTGCCGCAGACCTTATGTTTGTAAAGAACATGATGTCACAGAGTGCACTAAAGTGAAGCGCAGCCAAACACGGTCTGCCCCTATCCCCGCTTTACAGAAGAGGAGACTGAAGCTCCAGGAGGCCGTCACATACTGAGGTCACACAACTAGGGACCTGTAGGGTTTGAAACCAGGGGCATGTGACAGAGCCCTGCTCCTGCCCCTGCCCCCAGGACCTCCTGCATCTGTGTTAGTCTGCTTGGCATGAGTGTGAGGCCTGCTACACATTTGAGGTGGGACTGGAGCTTGCTGCTCTGCCAGCAAAACTACTTGACAAGTGGAGGGCTGTCTGCCTGTTTCCAGGCCCCCGATCCCAGTGAAAGTGTGACTCTGGGCCCAGCCATTATAGGCATTTCTTGGGCCACCAGGCAGGCCTGATGCCTACCCAACTCTGGGAACAGGTCTGGAGCTGCACGGCTTTCCAGGCAGTTTTGCAGCATCTCCGGCAGCTTGCTCTTCTGTCTCCTAGGCTTCGCCCAGGACCACAGGGTACTCAGCATCAGTCTCCAAGGGGTCCCTCAGAGCTAGGATCTCCACGAGGCAGCAGGGAGTAATAGTGCCATTTTACAGATGAGGAACTGAGGCCCACCGAAGAAACTCATGGCGGTTACAGTGTGTGGGTGGCGGACTAAACACACACTCCCATTCTTCCTGCCACCCTCCACTGCCTCTGGCTGAAAAACTACTTATTCCCCCAGCCCACGCTGGAGGAAATGAGGTCTGGGTGCACGGCCCCACCTTGGAGCTGCAGAAAGATGGTGGGAGCCTCTGAATTCACACACCAACTGTATTTCTGTTCTAAACCCACTCTGGACCAAACCAAGGCTGTCTGGGGCCTGGGCAGCAGGGGTCCCTAGGCTCCTTCTCTGGGCTGTCGTAGCCCCAACGTGCCCCAGCACAGCCCCTGTCACCCGATGTCTCCCCGACCTGACTGTGAGCCCAAGGGGACAAAGCCCCACTTCTGGACACACAGCAGGGATTCAAGCGTTTCCTGAGAAGATGCCAGGCGGGGGGAGAGGGGAAGGGACGCTTGGTCTCTCCGGGGAAGGTTTGACACCCCCCAGCCCCCTCCCCTGGCCAGCACCAGCCCCCCTCCACATCCGACTCCTCTCCAGCTGTGGAAACTTGTACCTCAGCTCAGAAAAATGAACTTGCTGGAAGCCAGCTGCTTGGCTGCCAGGGCCAATCAGGCTCTGGGGGCACCTCACCTACCACCAGGGACCAGGGCTGCGGGGGCTGGACCTGAAGGGCTAGAGGGCGGGCGGGCCCTCCCCAAGGCCTGTGCCCCAAGAGAGACAGACGGGAAGAAACAGGAAGCCGAGAGCAGACCACTGAGGTGGTGGGGACACAGGCCTGCAGGCTCGGGGGCAGCGGCCACCCCCCGTTTCCTGGCTGCACGAGGGCACACTGGGGCAAGGCTCTCGACCCCAACCGAGCCACTCGGCATTTTCTCCCTTTTTTCACCTACCTGGCTCCCCTCCCTGTCCCCAGGGCTCCTGGGGAACAGATTCTAGAACTCAGACACAGACTCCTCTGTGGCAAGGGTGGGGACAAACTTGAGGAGTTACACTGACTAACTCAGGCCCATTGTATAGATGAGGAAATGGAGATTTTGGATGATTAAATGACATCTGAAAAGCCACATCTTTTGGCTCCTCTGCGATTTGAATCCACATCTGCCTGAACTCTGAGCTGTATTTCCTTCCTCTCCCCTCTTCTCCTCTCCAGTCTAGGCTGGCCTCGCCACCTTTGCTCATGTCTTCTGGCTGGCCCTTGCACTGTCCTGCTCTTCCACGCTTGCCCCTCATTCTTCTGAGATGGACTTTCTGCAGCTGGTCCCATCACCCCAAAGAGACAACTGGGGCTCCCGCAGCCACCCAGAAAAGTTTTCTGCTTTTGGCCCCCAGCTCTGGAGCCAGAGGAAACCCATAAATACAAACACATTTGCATGAAAGCCCAGGGGTTCTGCATCTGCAGTTAACAGCTAGGTTTAGCATCCAAGACAGCTGCCGGAAGTGGGAGCAGCGGCCACCAGCTTCCTGGGACAAATGTGTCCCATCAGCCAGGTTGGTACCACTTGGTGTTTATTTAGACAGACAAATCAAAGCACCTGGTGGTTCAGTTTGTGCTCCTTTTTCTTCTGGAGAGGGGGTAGGAGGTCGGGAGGGTGTGTGTCATATATATATAATATATATATTTTAAAAGATCAACATATCACCAGTCCCCCACATTTCTTCTCTACTGAGCAATATATACAGCCTATATATATATATATGTATGTGCATATATATATATATATAATATATATATAATATATATATTTTTCAATAGATAACTACATTCAAGTCATGAAACACAGGATTTACAATTTCCCTCTGAGGGCAGAGGAAAAGCAAATTCACACACAATTCACAGAGGAAGTACCATGAAAGCCCAGCTGGACAGGAGCTGAGGCCCCTCTGGGGGACATGGGGGGCAGGCAGCAGCAGAAATCACGACAACTGCACGGTTGCTTATCGTGGGGGGCAGGCAGGTGCCGATGAAGTGTGGGCCCCACCTGCGCTGCTGGGTCGGCAGGCAGTGCTGGCTGACCCAGGCTCCCAGGCTGGGATGGGTTTTTGGGGCACACGTTCGGGAACCTCAGTTTTCCAGGAGCCTCTCAAATTTGGGGTTCACGAAGGAGAAGCCAGCAAATGCTGTTTGGTCCATGGAGTCGATGAGGTTCTTGTCGCTGTAGGAGAGGCGCGGCTTCTCATTCAGGAACTCCTGGTCGAAGTTGCTGTAGTCTCCGGGTGACTTCTGCAAGCAGAGGGAAGGGGTGTGTAAGCAGGACTCAAAGGGTGTAGGTTCCTGAGGTTCCAGGGACCCACCCCTGGGGCCAGAATCCCTGCTGGGCTAGGCCAAGGAGAGCCATCCTTATTGAGAACAGAAAAGGGAGCCTCTCTGCTGGAAGGGGGATGCTGTTACCCAAGGGGCTGAGGGAAGCCAGCAGGGGGCCTGGAGGAGGAAAGGTGGGCATTTGCCCAAGCAGGCAATACAGCCCTGGGTCAAACCCCTCCCACCACCTGTTTCTGTAGGTCCCACAAGCTCAGACTGGATTTTGCATTTTTAAATGTTTAGGGAAAAAAACAAAAGGAGAGTAAAATTTCATGACATGTGAAAATTAAATGAAATTCAATGGTTCAGCATCCATAAATAAAGTTTTATTAGTACACAACCATGCCTATTAACTGATATGCTGCTGTGTCTATGGCAACATCTATGGCCACTTTGAGACTATCTGGCCTGCAAAGCCAACAATATTTTCTATCAGGCTGTTCACAGGAAAAGTCTGCCAACTCTGCTTCTCAGGGTACAGTGAAAGTGTGATAGAAAGAGGTCTCAAGCTGGTGGCCCTCAGGCCAAACTGAGTTGCAGGTACAACCATTTTGACTAGCCATTAGTTTTAATGGCATTTGAGCCATTTTTTTTTTTTTTTTTGGGCCGCACCACGTGGCTTGTGGGATCTTAGTGCCCTAGCCAGGGATTGAGCCTGGGCCCTAGGCAGTGAAAGCTCAGGAGTCCTAACCATTGGACTGCCAGGAAATTCCTGAGCCAATATTTTTAAATTAGGCAATATGACATCAAAATCAAGTTTTTGGGACTTCCCAAAACCATGGGTTCAATCCCTGGTTGGGAAAGTAAGATCCCATGTGCTGTGTGGTGCAGCCAGAAAAGAAAAAAAGAAAAATCCAGGTTCCTGGCTTCTTTGAAAAACTGACAGAGCAGAGCAGTTTGGGCCAGTTTCCTGGCAGGTCTGTCCACTCTTGGTGCTGAAACCCCCTGGCCACTCATCACCTCTTCCCTCTGAGAGGGATTGCTGCTAATTAGCACATATGCCTGGTGTTGTTTAAAATCAGCCCATCCCTCTTTCTATCAAAAGCATGACACTAAACGCAGGCTGTGGGATATTCCTGCCTTGCCTGGTAGTAATGTGCCCAGTGCAGGAGGCGGCAAGTTTGAGGGCCCTGGAGTTGGGGGAGTTCTCTGTGGTTTTAAGACACAAACACTGTAGCATGTTACACAGGCTGCTAGGTGGGAACAGTGTCCTCAAGAAGCGAGGAGAAGGAAAGGAGAGAAAAAGGAAGGGAGGGGAGAGCTGTGATCAGAGAGGGGCCTTGGTGTCCGACTTCCGAGAAGCCCAGCCTGCCTCTGCTCTCCTGCTTGCTCCTGGCGGCTTCTCTAGATTCTAGGCTGTTATGTACAGCAACCCTGCTTTCCCTGGAAAGCATCTGGCCCCAGCCTGGCCGGGCCTCCTCAGCCCTGCCCACATCCCATTTCCTCTCAGACCTACTCCAAACTCTGGATCCTGGCTCCTGCCTCCAGATCCTCCTCATGGCAACTGATCGTGTGTGGCCTTGTGACATCTCTCATACTGATGTCTTTTATCATAAATGATCACCGGCATGCAAGCTCTCATCTCTCTGAGGAGCTGGGGTCCTCCAGTTCTGGGGCTGGGCCTCCCACTCGGCTGTGCATGCAGCCCAGCTCAGTGCTCTGCACTCAGAAGGCACTCAGCATTTTCAATATTTATGGCAAAATGGATTGAATGGGTGGATGAGTAGATGGAGGGAGGGAGGCCTTAACTGATTACCAAAGCATACTCCCGTGCACACAGTGGGTGTTAAAGAATGTATGGTTGGACTTCCCTGGTGGTGCAGTGGATAAAAATCCACCTGCCAAGGCAGGGGACACGGGTTCAATCTCTAGTCTGGGAAGATTCCACAATGCCTCAGAGCAACTAAGCCTGTGCACACGACTACTGAGGTCTGTGTGCCTGGAGCCTGTGCTTCTCAGAGAGAAGCCACCACTATGAAAAGGCCACTCACCACAACAAAGAACAGCCCCCTGTTGCTGCAACTAGAGAAAGCCTGCGTGACGCAACAAAGACTGTGTAACCATAAATAAATAAATACAAGAGAATGTATGGTAAAGGGTGCTGGATCCACTGTTACCAAATGTTTGTTGAATGACTGACTGACTGAGGAGAGACCATGAGAACACAGGGGTAGAGGCTATGACTCAGCCTGCCAGAAGGGTTGGGAAAGCGGATTCATCTGAAGAAGGGAGAGGCGGAGAGCATGTAAATGATGCAGAAGGGAGGAAGGGGAAAGCAGGAAGAGCCCACCCAGGAGGGCAGTAGGGGGCAATGTGGAGTGGCAGCCCCCACTGGAGTGGGATCACGTACCACTTTGGGCTTGAAGGGCGGCTCCACTGCACGTTTCTCCAGCAGAACCCAGTTGATGGTCTTGAAGAAGGGGTGGATTTTGATGTTCCCTGTCACTCCCAGCCTCTTGTTTATGTCCCGTTCAAGCAGCTGCAACCCAGCAAAGGAACCTGGTTAGCACCCAAGGGCTGCAGGAAACGGGTTCCTCAGAAAACCCCCAAGCAGGCCCATGGGTACCCGGGCCAGTCTGGCCCAGCCCGGCATCACACCCCAGAGCCTCTGGGGTGGAGGAGTCCTCTCTGGTCTCTGCTCCCAAGTCTGCATGGATGGGGGCTGCTGGGACTCTTGGCTGGTGGGATTTGTGAGTAAAAGCAGCGGTCATTTACTGGGTGTTTACCGTCTGCCTGGCACAGGCCTGAGCATCACACATTTATGTTTCCCCCCCACCAGAAGTCTGTGAGAAAGATTCTCTCCTAGCCTCATTTTGTAGATAAGGAGACAGACTCAGAGTTTAGCCTAGGGTCCGTCTATCTCTTGACCCCAAGCTTGTCACTTCCATGCCAGACAGACTCAGCGCAGGGAACCCAGACAGGAGGTCCTGGGATTGCAGCAGGAGGGTGACTCCCCCAGGTGGGTGAGGACCAAAGCATCAGCAAGGCCACCATCCCTGAGACAGGGGGCTTCTGGCACTCCCAAGACCTGGTATCTGACAGCCCCCACCCCGGCCAGTCCCGCCCAGGGCCTCCCACCTTCTCCAGGATGTCCTTGGACTCCCTGGTGATCCAGCGAGGATAGTACGGTGAGTCAACCCGGATGGACTCGAAGAGTTCGTCCTCATCATCACCATGGAAGGGGGACTGACCAATGAGCATCTCGTACAGAAGGACTCCGAAGGACCACCAGTCCACGGAGAACGAGTATTTCAGGCCCTGCAGGATCTGGAGCAGACGAAGTATCAGAGCTGAGGGGGCCCCGGAATACAAGCCCCAGCCGGATCTCCTCAGCCTCCCAGTTGCAGCTCAGACATCACCAGTCACGCCCGCCCTGTGAAGGCAAGGTGTTGGCCGGGGCTGGGAGGGTGCCGCTCACCTCGGGGGCGATGTAGTCAGGGGTGCCGCAGAAGGTGCTGGCCTGTTTGTCCCCGGACATGTTCTCCTTGCACATGCCGAAGTCGGCAATCTTGATGTGGCCAGTGTGGTCCAGCAACACATTGTCCAGCTTGAGGTCCCTGAGGGGAAAGGACAGGAGGACGAGCTGTTAGGGCCCACTCCCCTTCTCCAGGCAGCTCCCTCCCATGTCCCCACTGTTAGTCTAGCATTCTCCCACAGGGATGGGGGAATGAGGAAGAGGAGGGCAAAGAAGTGCTAAATACAAGTGCTTCCTGCAAGCTGACTACTGTGTGTTCGACACACACCATCCTACTTCCCTAGAGTGAGTCTAAGCATGGACTGCATGTTATAATGTGCATCTCACACCACCTTTTAAAGCCTGGACCCTAGTACTCAGCACACACTGTCCCATGGATTGGTTTTCCACTTGATGACATCCCGTGGCATCATCCCACAATAGCACAGAGTCTGGCCTCATCCTTTGGCATAGATATATATGAACGGCAGGATAGGACTGTCATTTGTTGGCTGAGAATTTATGAAACCAGTCCCTATGGGTGGAAGTTCAGAGTGCTCGGATGGGGCTTTAGAGGGAGACTCCATAGCGAGGGAGACACCAGTCAGTGCTGCGCTCCTTGCCTGGCACTGAGTATGCTTGGGGAGTTCCCAGTCCCTGGAGCTGTGCCAGCCTCAGCTAAGGGGCCACAAGGAATTCTAGCAATGGAGTAGGTGGTTTAGGCAAATACCCAACTAAAAGACCGACTCCATACAGAGATGGGGCCACAGCGGGACTGGGCCCCATTCAGAGCACTTCAGAGGATATGATGGGGTTGGGGCCTCCCCTCCTAAACAACCCCCATCTCCCGATCCCCGCACCTGTAAATGATCCCTTTCTGGTGCAGAAACTGTAGTCCACAGACTATCTCAGCTGCATAAAACCTGGATGAGACAACACACACACACACATACAGTGTCCTGAGATTTCTGTGAGCAGTCCCTGCTTCTCCCTAGGTCTTCTTCTGTCCCCCCAGGGACAAGAAATGCTGCACATAACTTCACAGACAACCTGGGCCTCATCAAGTACATCTTGTGTCGGGCAAGTAGGGGCTGGTAGCCAAGGCAGGAAAAAAAATTAAGAAGGAAAAAGCTCCAAAGGAGACCATTCTCTGTCCTAAGAGTGTATGCGTTTATACAGATATGCCTATGTGCACACACACAGTTTAGCAGTGCATGCAGGTTTAAGGGCCACTCACCTGGGTCCTGCATTGAACAAGATCACCCACCTGGCTGAGGCCCAAGGAGGGGACAGGATCTGGCATATGACCAGACTGGGTCCCCAGCCACAGCTCACCCACCACCCCTGGATTCCCACACCGGGCGGGGGATGGCCCTGGCCACCCCAAGTCTCTCCAACCCCAGCTCCAGCCCAGGCTAGCTTCTCCAGGGGGCAAGGAGAAGGAATGGAAGGCAGATGGGCAGAGGGCTCTTCCCCCCATGGGGCCTCGCATACGTGGCACGGGAGAGCTCGAAGCGGCCTTTGTCCTGGATGTGGTACATCAGGTCACCCCCATTGAGGAACTCCATCACAAAGAACAGGTGGTCCTGCGGTGGGGGCGGGGGGGCGGGAGGATGGTGAGCAGAGGGACAGAAAGCAAAGGCAGGCACCCTGACAGGATCACCAGGGGCAGGCCCTAACAGGAAGCAGGGAACAACTCTGCCCTGGGTGACCTGCGGGGGGAAGAATGGCCCTGCCGGGAGACATCTGAGGACAGGGGAACTCAGCTCTGCCTTAGGTGATCTGAGGAAGAAGGGGCCCTGTTCTGGCGAGTCTCAACGGGAGATGCGGCCCTGACCTGAGCAACTGAGGAGGGCTGTGGGCCAGGGGCACTGACAGAGGATGGGCCAGGCACCTTGGTCTGGAAGGTGCAGAAGAGGTGGGTGAGAAATGGATGATCCCCGGCGAGCGCCAGCACGCGCTTCTCCACCATGGTGCACTCCACGTCGTCATCGATCAAGACCACGTCTTTCTTGAGAGCCTTGATGGCAAAGAATTCCTTTTTGCCCTTCAGCTCTGCGAGCAGCACCTGATGGATGTAACAGGGGTGCTGAGCAGGGGAGGGCCAGAACCAAGTCCAGGGTGCATGGCCTCACCCCACCAGGAAGCAGACAGAGAGGGTGGGAAGCAGGCGTCCCCGGGATCGTGGGCTCAGGCGGCTCAGGCTGCCTGCCCCGGGGCCACGGGGCTCTCACCTTCCCGAAGCTGCCTTTGCCCAGGACCTTGATGAAGGTGAAGTTGTCAATGCTGCACCTGGTGCTGCTCTCCCAGATCTTGCCGTAGGTCCCAGTTTCTGCCGAGACATAGCCGCTTCCTACTCTGGTCTCTGCCTAGAGGCCCAGAGGGTGGCCCTGCCCTGCTGGATCCCTCCCAACGGAGCGGCCTCCTTTACAGGCGCGTTCGACTGTGTGGGGAGACAGGGTCCCGTGCTGGCAGGGGAGGGGAGGGGCTTTCTTGGAAGGCATGGGCATAGCTTTACCCGCGACATCATCTCCAGAGACTCCTGGCTTTTTCTCAAAATTCTGGTAGATCCCAACAGTTTCTTGGGTCTCTGGTTCCTTCTTTAAAGATCTCTGGAGGAGGGGGTGGGGGTTGGGGGGGAGGTACCCAGAGGTCATAGCATGGTCAGAACTCCCAACCCAGAGGGAGGACCCCAACCATCCATAACTCCACCCTCAATACCAATGGGGGACAGCGAGGGGCAGAGCCCAGGACGCCTAGGTGGTGCATGTGCATGTACACATGTGCAAGAGAGTACACACAGAGACACACTTACACACACTTCTAGCACAGAGATGCCTCGGAGGTCTCAAAGGCACTGGTTACAAACAAAAGTTTTGGAAACTGAATCCTACCCACCCAACCACTTAATAGAACCTAGACTTGTTTTTTTTTTGTTGTTGTTGTTTTCCTTCACTTGTGATAGATTCTACAATTTTAAAGTTTTGTGACATCCTTCAAGCTTCACCCACATACCCAAACACACACACACAAAATATAAACATATAAAGGCTTTAGTTCCAAGAGTTCCAAACTTGCAGTCCTCCAGGTTCACCCTCAGAGCACTGCTTGAATAACTAATATCTTAGGAGAACAAGCCCACCACTTTCTAACGACCAGACCTTGAAATGGATCTTTCAGAAGTGGGGTCTTAGGTGTAAATGCCCCTCACTGCAGTTCACCCCCCAGGAGTGAGCATGAGCCTGGACTGGTCCCCAACCCCAAGACCCTCTGTCCAAGCTCCCCATAGTGCCTGCCCACCTGGCTAACTTGGTTCAAGGCCTCGGCCAAGAGCTTCTGGTTGATGCCACAGAGGTTGGCTACTTTCGTCTGGCACTTGTGATGCACATTCATGCCACAGTCTGTGGTGGGCAGAGAAGCAGACCATCAGGGTTCTGGCCCAGGCTGGCAGCCAGTAGGGAGGGGAGGGACGGAGGAGAAAGGAGGGCAAGGTCTGCTGGGTTTCCTGCCTTTAGAAAAAGATGTGTCTGAAATCATCACCACAAATCTTTTCTTACTTAAAAAATAAAAAACAAATGTCTGGGACAAACTAGAGAAGTCCCTTTTCCTCCAGAGGTCTCTTGCTATAGTGAAGCTGGAGGTCAGGAGAGGGCCAGCGAGGAGCGTGTTTTAAGCTGCTGAGACAGGCCCCTCCAACTGAGCACCTTCAGCACCGTTCTTCTAAGTGACTGGGGCCAACTTGACTCTAAGACCCATTTTATAATGGAAGACATGGAGCTTAGAGCGGTGGGGCCACCTTCTGATGGTCTCACAGCAGTAAAGGGTAGTCGGTTGGGCCAGTGGGGACAGGCCAGGAGGCCTCACCCATGTGAGATTCCCCAAGTGAGGCAGCAAAGGCAACCTTAGCTGGTCATGTTTCCCACCCCTCCCACACCCGCCCCCGCCGCATGCACCTTCACACTTTAATCCCTGCTTCACCAGCCCCCAGAGCAGGCTGCCACAGTGGTCACAGAAGGTGGGGCTCATGTAGTTATAAACCTTGAACCGGTGCGGCATGTCGATGTTGAAACGTTCTTTCTGGAACTGGGATGCAGGGTCACAGGTCAAAGCTCACATGCCAGCTCCAGCCCCTTCCTTGCCCCCTAACTCTCCCCAACCCAACCCCACACATGGTAGATTTCCCAAGAGGGCCCCATAGGGAATGGGAAATCCAGGGATCCCAGGGGTCAACCCAGGAGAAGGAAGGATGAAGGGAAACAGGGAGGAAGGGAGACCCGACAGGGAAGGGGTGGGGACAGCTCGGATCCCTGCCACCCCCCGACCCCTGCCCTGGGCCCAGCCTCACTATGGTGTCCCGACTGTTGGCTGCAGTGCCTGTACACCGGCCGATGATCTTGTCGATGCATTTCTTGTGGATGGCAGCATTACATTCTTGAGGAGGCACAGGCCCAGAAGGGGGACGGGAAGGCCCAGGAGGGGCAGAGTCTGTGAGCTGGCGCCCGCCGGCCCAGTCCTGCCCTCTACACAAAGCCACTGTTCTCCCTGACCACCCACACCCTCACTCCACAGAGGCCTCAGCCCCGGAGCTTGATTTTTCTCTCCTCCCGCCAGTCCCTGTGGGAGGAGCCTGGGAAGGATGAGGCAAGGAGGACAGGCTGATCTGGGGTGGGGAGTCCTCAGAGATTAGGGAAGGCTCAGCGAGTCTCGGTGGGCAGGGAGTAGGGCAGAAGGGAAGGATGGGGTGGGCTGGCACTGCGAACTGGAGGCAGGGGAGTCCTTGCTGTGGCCACGGCACACAGCTCCTAAGCTCTCTCACCCTCTGACCCCGCCTGCCCCCCTCCCCACACACAGATGCACCCCTACCCAGAGACCCTCGGGCACACATACACAGCAGGGTAGGAAGGACAAGCCTTCTTACACAGGATGCTTACAGTGCTCCACTCACACTTAGAACACAGCTTTACGTATTTTATCCCATTTGGTCTTCACAATGACTCTACTATCCCCATTTCACAGATGAAGAAACTGAGGCACAGAGAGGTTAAGTAACTGTACCTAAGGTCTGACAGCAAGGAAGTGGCAGAGCTGGGGTTCAGACCCAGGCAGGCTGGCTCCAGAGTCTCTGCTCACCACCAGTGGCCCACACCACCTTGTGCACGCACCGTCATGGTGTGCTGGTTACGTGTGTACCCAGATGCACACAGGTCTAAAGAGGGGCACATGCGTAGCCAGGGATGCACTGGCAAAGCTTTGATAGCCTCTCAGGGGGAAAGAGCCCTGATGTGCAGTGCTGGCAGGTTCTCTGTGTGTACTCCACTGGGGCCTCTTTCAGGCCACCAATGTGACATCACTGAACAGGAAACGCTGGGAACAGATACTCCAGCTCTGGCACTCACTGATGCAGTTACCATCCACACACGCCCACCCGCCTGGAACACCACACACACAAAAACACACACAGGCTTCATGCAGACACACCATCCCAACACAGGGACACAGACTTTGCTGTGAATGCACGCATACACACCGGGCCGTGGAGACACTTACGCCTGCACTTGTAGCCTTGCTTGTTGAGACCCCTGAAAGGCAAGTGGCCAGTCTGGGTGACTATGGAAAAGGCCAGGGATGGGGGCCCTCCTTCCCCGCTGCCCCACCCCGGTGGGCACAACCAATCTCACCAAACAAACTCTCTGCACACAGAGCAGAACGTGGGCTGCCCAAAGAAGGTGGCGATGAACTCGTGGTTCCTGATATAGTGAATTTTGGCCTGTTTGATAGCTCCACGGCGGTTCATTGTTGGGAACTTGGCCTCGTCTTCACCCCGCATAGACTGCTTGCAATCTGGGGACCAGTGAGCAAAGAAGTCAACCCTGGCCCTTGGGAGGGGCCTCACCCTTTCAGTCCCTCCCAGGGCAGTCCCAGCCAGACCGCTGATGGAAGGTGCTTCCCTAAACCTCCATTCTGGCCTCTGAACCTCCATCCCCAGCCCAGGTAGGGAGGGGCTTACCTACGTCTTCCAGGAAATACTGCACTGACATCAACACCTTGGCCTGGGGTTGCAAGTCCAGCTGCAGGGGTGAGGGTGGGGGAGTCAATGAGGGCGGGCCTGGGCCAAGCCAGACTCAGAACCCGCCCCCATGGTTGGTCCCTCAAGGCCCAGGGAGTCCTGGCCTCCGGCCGGCCACCTGTCTGCCCAGAGTGGGCAGGGCCCCACCCCTGAGCCCCGCCCCCACCCTCATCCTGGGGTATTATTACATTTGGGGAAGTGAAAGGATCCAGCCCACACCCATCGTGGCCACATGGCCCTGGGAACAGAGTGGGAAGGGAAACTCCCCACCCTCAACCCCGGCCACCCCCTTCACGATGATCTTAGAATGTAGGTACCCCTCCCCGCCCCTCCAGATATACATAGGCACACGCGCACTGAAACAGGCTGCTGGTTCTCTCTCTGTGGCCAGTCTCCTCACACAGACTGGCTGGTCCTCAGGACAGGGCCCTCAGCTTCCCCAGACCTGGGGCCTGGAGCCCAACTGTGTCCGCTGGGGTACTGGACAGACAACACGAGGTGTCTCTGCCTGATTATTCAAGACTGGGTGCAGCCCCACGTCAACCTCTGTCCTGGCCAGTTCCTTCACCCCTCACTGGAGGCTGAGCAGAGTCTCCATGGTCACAGGGTCTTTCCTGGTGGGGGGTGGGGGCGGTGCATCTTGGCTGCAGGACCACATGTAACCCCAAGGGGTAGGGATGCTCTGCCAGCATGGGTATCCTGTGGCCACAAGGGACACACGGCCACATATGGGTGCAAAGTCCAGGTTTGGGCAGGTGAGTGGCAGGCTATGATCCTGCTCCCCACTCCTTTGCTGTGGAAGATCATAACTGGTGTTCCCCAGTGCCTGCTTGGGCCTGGAATATCTGCGAAGATTCCAAACAGAACTGGGAACAATGGGGGCCTCTGGGAAGCGGGGACTGGGGCCTAGTGTTGGAGCCAGGAGCTGCCCTTTTGGACAGCTTGAGATGTTTAACTCTGTACATCCTGCCTTTGCAAAATTAAAAGGGAAAAAGTCAGCCACAACACCAGGAGGGCTCTCCTGAGAGCTGCCTGGGGGCCAGGTGCTGCAGTAAGCCCTTCACCCTCAGCTTTTCATTCCTTGGAACAACCGACCCCAAGGTAGGTCTCTTTAGCAGCTTCTCCTTTTACAGATTCAGAAACGGACTCAGAGAAGCTAAGGATCTGATGACTCCCAGGACCAGGATTCAAACCCAGGTTGTTGGTGGGTGGAGCCTGGGGTGCCCTTGGCCCTCCCTGCTCCCTTTGCCCACCCATGTTGTGCGCTCGTGGCTGCGCTCCTCACCCAGAACTCGGCCTTGCCATTGTTCTTCTTGCAGCGCTCGGCCAGCACGGACACACCCACTGTCGCCTCGGACAGCGGCTCCTCGGCGGCCCGCATTAGTACAACCTGGATGACGCGGCCCTCGTAGACGTGGGCGTCGAACGTGGACCTCCACTCGGGGTACATGGTGGGTTTCTTCTGCACCAGCGTCTTCCCGCGCTCTGCAGTAGGCCGGCAGGCGAGGTCGGGCGAGGGCCCCTCCGCCCCTCCCTCCCTGACCTCCCCGTGGCCTTGCATCCTGCGGAATCTGCCTGCTCTCTCCCCGAGGGCCCGGGTCGCCATGCCTCAGCCCTCACGACTTGGCTCTGCACACCTCACCATCTCACTCATGATCTATTCCAGAACACAGAAACACTGGCTGTTCCCTGAGGGCGCCCCCACTAGGTTCCACCCTGGGCCTTTGTTCTTGCTATTTCCTTTTCCTGTGACCCTCTTCCTCCAGCCCCTCTTAGGTGTCGCCTTCCCTTATGCATTCACTCAGTGAATACTGCTGCGGGCTCCCACACACCAGCCATGATACTGGACATGTCATGTGCCTGTCCTAGAGCCCCAGTTCTAGGCAGAGACATGAATCAGTTCACCCCTCAAGTGAATATTAAATCACAGCTGTGAAAAGACTGAAGAGAGTAATGTCAGTGGGTCTAGACCTACCCATGGTCAGGTGGCCTGCCCCAGCCTAAGGGTCAGGGAAGCCTTCCTAAAGGAAGAGACAGCTTAGCTGAGACCTGAAGGATGAGCCAGAGTTCACCAGGCGAGGACAGAAGCAAGCAGGAATGATGTGAGATGTCTGCTTCTTCCAGGAAGCCCTTCCTGACTGCAGCCTGGGATGGTACCTTGTCTGGATTTCCCTATCACAAGATTCACTGTCTGGCTCCCCCACCTCACTGTGAGCCCCATGAGGGCAGAGCCTGGTCAGCCTTGGAGCATGACAGTGTCTGTTCCCAGCACAGGGCCTGTCACAGATGGACACATGGAGCTCCTGCAAGGAGCCCATTCTTGGCAAAAACAACCAGTGGGGAGGAACCAGAAGCTCTGGGCCCCAGAGAAGGTTCCATGTAGCCAGTGCAGGAGGGCCTAGAGGCAGTGGGTAGTCTCTACTGTCCTGCATTGCCAGGTGAGCTGGGCAGGGAGATGAGGACAAGGAAGAGAAGGATCCCTCAAACGTTCTAGGAGAACAAGACACAGTTCCTTCCATTGCTGTTGCCTCCTGGCTCTGAATTGCCTGCCCCACTGGCAATTCCCTGTTGCCAATGACTGCAAAATGGGTGGGGTCCAGCCTCCAGCCCTACCTGTGCTGAGAGCCTCCTTCATCTTCACAGCACAGAAGGGCTGGCTTGCCTCATCCGCGGCCTTCAGGGAGCCCAGCTCGTAGGAGTTGAAGGAGATGCGCAGGAACGGTGCCATGTTGGGGCCTGCAGTGGGGCTGCGGAGACAGAAGACCTGAGGCAGGCAGCAGGCACAGCCCGGGGAGGGTGGTCAGGTTCCCACTCCCTTCAGAGCTTCCACATGGTGCTTAAAAGGCACTAGTCCTAGTTGCCAACATTAAAACTGAGTTTTACGTAAGATGACATTTGTGACTTCCCTGATGAAACTGGAAGGTGTAACATCAGGCCCACTGGGCAATATCTGGCTGGCACCGCCCCCTTGGTTGGGCACCCCTGCCAGTTCACTCTAGTTCAAAGCTCTGCTTACACTTCTCTCCAAATCCTACCTGGGCCCTGGAGACATGTGAGCCTGTGACTTCCACCTTATTTATCTGGAGAGTCAGTCATTCAATGCCTCCTTTAATAGCCAATGGCTAAGCACCTACTATGTGCAGGTACCGAGTATATGCTGGGCTCCAGCACCTCAGTGGCAGCCAAGATGGGAAGGACAGTACCCCATCCTCCTTGCCCCCTGCAGCCCTGCTCGGTCTTCATAGTTTGGTGTTTGCTCATAACTACCTAGGCAGACAGGGCTTCCCTGATGGCTCAGTGGTAAAGAATCTACCTACAGTACAGGAAACACAAGTCGATCCCTGGGTCAGAAAGATCCCCTGGAGAAGGAAATGGCAACCCACTCCAGTATTCTTGCCTGGGAAATCCCATGGACAGAGGAGCCTGGTGAGCTACAGACCATGGAGTCACAAAGAGTCCAACACGACTTAGCGACTGAGCATAGCACCCAAGTAGACAACCAGGGTCAAGATGATCACCCCCACTTTCCCTACAGGAAACTGAAATCCTGAGGATGAAGCAGAACCTAAAGCTGGGATTCTACTAATTAAGTCCCCATTTCATCTGGGACCAGGGTAGTGAAAAGCCCCATCCAGATCGGCACGCCTGACACTTCTGAACCCAAGCCCCTTGGGTTCAGCTGCCTCTTGCCTACCTGGAAAGTTGCCTGCACTCTTACACTAAATTTTTCCCAAATATAAAACTATTTTAATATTAAACATAATGCTGAATTTGCTTCTTATACCACACACGTTGGCCCCACATGCCCCCACTCCTCACAGTTCCTCAAATCAATAGTCATGACAGGTGACCATGAGGGTCACCCTGAGGGTCTTTTGGTTTGTCATCATGGAGGATGCTCAGCTGTGCAAGCCCACAGGTGCACACTCATACATCTGTCCAGACACTGGCTCAGGGTCCAGGGTCCATAGAGGGGAGTTCCACCACCGTGGCTGCAGGAATGCTCACTCGCGTATATCCACATATACACAGCCTTGCTCCACCCTGAACATAAGATGGCACAGAGGCAGACTAAGACATGTACCCCTATCCCCCCGCCACACATGCCTGTCTGCATAGGCAACACCACCTTGGCCCCAGCTCCACGTCTCCCCCAGCTCCTCCACATGGCCACAGAGCAGCAGCCAGGCCCGCTGGGAGTTCCAAGCCCAGATGAGCTCACAGGAAACTCTGACCTCAGCCTGCAGCCCAGCCCAATGGTCCAGCCAGTCCTCCGAAGCCAGCCACCAGAACACAGAAGAGGGGCCAGGCAGGGCAGACTCCACCATGTCCCTTGCCCGGGCCTGGCTCCTCCTTAGAAGGAGTGAGTGTGGGTGTGTGAGCTCACGTCTGAGACCAGCCGCACTGACCACTCAGCAGGCAGGGAGGGAAAGCCATCTGTGGGCTGCTGCCGCCTCCTCCCTGAGCCCCAAGCACGCATGAGTATGCAAGCTGGTGTTAGGGGAAGGGGGGGCGGCCATATATGTGGGTGTGACTCCACGGCCATGGAGATGTGTGTGCCTGTGAGGACATGTGAGTGGGTGGCAGGCGGTGGGTACACAGTCAGTGTTGCAGTGGACGGTGAGCTGCACAGGCCTGGCTGGGAGTGCATGTCGGAGCCCGGGTGAGGGTCTCAAATTTCTAAGCAAAAGGCTATTGCGCTCCTCCTGTCACCCTGTGTGGTCTGGGGTTCCGGAAGGATCAGCATGACCTCTACACAGCACACACTTGCCTCGTGTCTGCAACCACATTCCAGGGCCTGACCCTCAGCAGACATGGCTCAGCCTCAGGCTTCCCAACAGTCCTGGCGGTGGCACTCTGAGAGTCACCTGGCCCGAGTCTCGGTTACCCCCATCCCCCAGATGAGGCACAGCGCCTTGCCGGAGGGCTGCTGCACTGATGCGAACTTGTACAGCCAACACCAACCCCACAAGACTCAGAGTAGGGGCCTCTTGCCACTGTCAGCCCTTCTTGCTAATAGCAGCCCTCTTTCCTCTGCGCACCGTCCTTCACAGCTTACAAAGTACACTAACATCCTCACCACATCCAGGTCTCCAGGCTCCTAGTAGCCTGGGAAGACAGTCCTGATAACTGACCCTACCTCTCAGAGAGCAAAACTCAAGTCTCCAAGAATGGAGCTGCTCATCCTGAAGGGGCCAGTGGGCTCAGCGCCTGCAGGCTGGCTCCTCCTCTCCCCCACCCACACCCCACTCCCCTCAGGGCCCAGTCCAGGTGGCCCATGGGCTCTGGGTCCTCTAGCAGGAGCCAGCCATCCACAGGACCACGGCAGAGACAGTTATCAGCCTGCCCTCCATCTCTGCAGCACTCAGAACAGCTGGTGCTTGCAGTCAGTTAGAAGCCACTGGAGGGAAAACCACAACCACAGTGGGCCCTGTCCTGGCCCCAAACCTGCACAGCCTGACCGCAGCGTCATGAGGAAGAGGACCACGGGCTGCCCTGGGGCTACCTGGCAGTAACCCAGGGTGATGTCACCTAGCCCCAGCTAACTAGGACTAAAACTAGAGCACAGGCCCCAGCCAGGTTCCAACACCATCTCCACCCCAACCGCACTGTGTGGATCCCCAGAGGAAGAGAGACACTGTAAACAGACATCACTTTCCATTGATCACCATGAGACCCTAAGGAGAGGTCTTGGGCCCTGGCACATGGGGCTCCCTGCACAGCGGAGCTAGAGTCATCACCTACCTTGCAAAGCATCTGAACACTGGTGGGAAGGCCAGGCGGTGCAGTGATGGCACAAAAAACAAGGTGAGCCAACTATTTATAGCCCCCATGCAAATTGGCTCAGGTCCACAGGCCCCAGAGGAAGGCCTCTGGCTCAACCTCATCCCTGGTCTGCAGGCCCCCGGAGGCAGCAGGGGGTGGACTCCACACAGGCCTCCATGGGGACCAGCTCCTTGGAGCCAGCCGAAGCCAGCCAGGCCCTTCCCGACCACCTGTCTCTACTCTCCTGCTTCTCTAGCCCACAACAGAGGCAGCCCTATGAAGCAGAGAGCACTGGACTTGGGGTCTGGGTGTGAATCAGTGCCCTCACTTAGAAAAAAAAAGATCATCCTTCCATACAGATGGCTAATAAACACATGAAAAAATGCTCAATATCAAATATTATTAGAGAAATGCAAATCAAAACTACAATGAGGTATCACCCCACACTGGTCAGAAAGGCCATCATCAAAAAATCCACAAACAATAAATGCTGGGCAGGGTGTGAAGAAAAGGGAACCCCCTTATACTGTTGGTGGGAATATAAGTTGATAAAATCATTATGGAAAACAATATGGAGATTTCTTTAAAAACTAGGAATAAAACTACCATGTGACCCAACTCCACAAATGAGCATGTATCCTGAGAAAACCATTCTAAAAGACACATGTACCACAATGTTCACTGCAGCACTACTTACAACAGTCAGGATGTGGAAGCAACCTAGATGCCCATTGACAGGTGAATGGATAAAGAAGTTGTATACATATATACAATGGAATATTACTCAGCCATAAGAAGGAATGAATCTGAGTCAGATCTAGTAAGGTGGATGAACCCAGAGCCTGTTTAACAGAGTGATATAATACAGAAAGAGAAAAACAAATATTGTATATTAATGCATATACACCGAATCTAGAAAAATGGTACTGATGAACCTATTTGTATGGCAGCAATAGAGACACAAACATAGAGAACAGACTTGTGGACACAGTGGGGAAAGGAGAATGGGACAAATTGAGAAAGTAGCATTGAAACATACACATTACCACATGTAAAGTAGATAGCCAGTGGGAATCTGGTATATAACACAGGGAGCTCAACCTGGTGCTCTGTGACAACCAAGAGGGGTGGCCTGGAATAGGATGGGATGGGAGGTGGGAGGGAGGATTCAAGAGGGAGGGGATATATGCATGGCTAATTGATGTTAACGTATGGCGGAAACCAACACAACACTGTAAAGCAATTATTCTCCAATTAAGAATTTTTTAAAAAGGATCTAAAAAAAAGATAAATTAGAATTTAAAAAAAAAATCATCCTTCTCTGAGGCCAACGCACACCAGATCAAGCTTCTAATGGAATTAACTCATTTTATCCTTGTGTAGATCCCAGAGGTGGGTAATTTACTGATGAAGAAACAGGCTCAGAGAGGTTAAGTGATTTGCCCAAGATCACACTGCTAGTAAGTGCTAGGAGGAGGATCTGAATCCAGGCCTATCTGATGTTGCAGCCCATGTTCTTCCTGGTCTGCCATGTCAGGAAGAGGAGATGAAGGGCAAGAGGGGACAAAGGTAGAGATAGATAAATGTGCTGGGAGCAGTGTAGAGAAACACATCCGTGAGGGTAGAGTAAATACGGGGGTGAGGGGACCAGAAGACAAGTCTCCTACGCTTGACCACCCAACCCCCTCGAGGCCTTACCTTGGGGACCCTCCCACTACTGTACAAAGAAGGTGGGTACAGACTCCTGAACTGATACTGCTTCTCCTGTCCCAGACACGTGGCCCAAACTCCAGTTCTCAAAACCTGGGGAAGACCTAACTGGATCCCAGCCTCAGGGGATGAGGGTTTTCGGACCCTGCTCCCCACCCTGCCCTAGACTGCCGCCCACAGGTAAGGAAAGGTGGTACTGGGCCAGGTCAGAGCAGGCAGCCCGCCTACTCCACTCCAGGGCAGTGGAAATCT